CCTGATGCAAGCAAAGAATTTATAGTTGACACAGAAGCAAGTGATATAGGACTTGGCGGTGTGTTGTCTCAACGGAATGGTGACCAAGAGGTCGTGATAGCGTACTTCAGCAAGTCATTGTCAAAACCGGAAAGGAACTACTGTGTCACAAGACGCGAATTGCTAGCTGTGGTAAAGTCGTTGCAGCATTTTAGCAAATATCTTCTGGGGCGGAAATTTCACTTACGAACTGACCATGCTGCACTAAAATGGCTATTGCAGTTTAAAAATCCAGAAGGACAAGTTGCGAGGTGGATTGAACTACTGCAGGAATACGACTTTGAGATCGAACATCGCAACGGGAAATCTCATGGCAACGCAGATGCATTGTCAAGAAGACCTTGTCCTGAAGTTGCACATTGTACTAGGCAAGAGAGTAAGGAAGTGGTATCCGTGAGGATGCTCAGGGCAGACCACCTCAGCAACGAGTGGAAGGACAGCTTACAACGTGCACAGCAGGAAGATCCGGACATCAAGCCGATTCTGGAATGGATGAAGGCCAGTACTCCCAAGCCCAAGTGGAGCGACGTCTCAGCGATGAGTTCGACCACGAAAAGCTATTGGGCCCAATGGGGCAGCTTGCTGATTCAGGATGGAGTCCTGTGCCGTAAATGGGACAATGGTCGAGAAGACAGCTGTCGTTTGCAAATGGTTGTCCCTAAAGCTAAAGTGCCGAATGTTCTACAGCTGTGCCATAATGGTCGTTCAAGAGTCCATCTGGGAGTTAAACGAACTCTACTGAAGGTCCGAGAACGATTTTACTGGGTCCATTATCGTGACGATGTCGAGGATTGGTGTCGTACATGTACAAGTTATGCGGCCGTGAAGGGACCTCAGACACGTAGTAGAGGAGCATCGAAATTGTACAATGTTGGTGCACCACGGGATAGGACAGCCCTTGACATTGCGGAGCCGTTACAGGAAGGCGCCAGAGGGACTCTTAAGATCGTCCATGCGGATCGCTTGGCGCGTTATTATGGGTCCGATAATGCTCGGGACGAGCATTGTCTTAGGAGGGGGGCAGTGTTACGCGCATAAGTCGACGTCATGTATAAGGTACTAGCGCCATCTGGTGTCGGGTAACAGAGCGAGAAGAGCTTTCCAGAAAATACATGATTCGTCTTTCAACCAACAGCGCCATCTAGTATCGAACAGAAGAATTAAACTTTCTAGAAGCTCTACACTCGATCTTTCTGCGCTTGGTCGGTTGGTGCGCGTATTTACTCGAATATTCTGGATGTTTTCGTGGAAGAGCCCTATATAAAGGCGCTGCAATACGCGATCGAGGAAGTATTGAAGTTGGCGAGACACGCGAAGCTTCGGAGCGGTATAAAGTGAATCAGTGTGATTAATTATTGGTGTTTTTTTAACTTTAATTATTGTAAAGTGAATTAAAGTGTTAATTTAGGTAATTCTATCGGCAATTTTTATTGTCACGAACCTCAAGCTCGTAACAATATTAACAATTTCAACACACTTAGCAAGCTTCTGTTGCCCCATATCTTGCATGCGTTGCTCGATGGCTGCTAACTTCGTTTCCAAGTGGTGATTTTTATTCGTAGTTTCGATGTTTTTCTTTTTCAGTTCAATAATTGTTTTTTGGCAAGCTTCTAGGTATTCCATGGCTTCATCGACTTTTTCTGTATGGAACTGAAATGTCTGATATATGTCTTTCATTTCCCTTCTTAAAGTTTTTTTGCATTTCTTTCGAAATGTCCTCCAGCAGATTTTTAACTTCAATTTGGTAATTACCAGCAGACGAAGCTACTCGAGGTTCGTCATTGTTATCTTCTGGGACTACGATTAAACGTCTTTTTGGCGATTGATTGTGGCAATTCTGACACGTCCATTCTAAGTTTTTTGTTGCCCGTAGTGCAGATACCTGCTTGTTGGTAAGACCAGCACATGTTGTGCTTAAATGTACCGATTTTCACAGCGATTGCACTCCCCGCCGGGCCTTGTTTTGGTAATATTCATATTACATTGATCACACTGAGCCATATTGACCATATAAGTGGGTACATAGAAAAAAAGAAATTGACCACTTTGTACATGTTACTCTATCGAGCGCCGATCGATGATCATTGACCTGGTCCTGGTCCTGGTTTCTGTATGGTCCTGGTCACGCATTATTCAGACTATAATAGGCTTTTCCTTCAAAATCCTCACTCCATCGAGATTAAAAGGAGCAAATATTGTGCGCGCAAGATAATTCTAAGACGACTGATGGCATACTTAATGTTGCCATCTTAACTAATATTATTTCCTTCGTTTAATCTTATTACTAGAAATATATAATAATATCAAATTACACATACATAACTGAATTGGCTGCCATTATTCTATGATAAGACTAACGTTAATATAAATTATTAGTTAGTAAACATTTGAAAATTTTCAAATTATGCCAGTGAGTTCGAGACAAATAATATTAGTATAAAAAAAAAAACTAAAATACACGCTTTACTTTTATTTTCTGTATTTTTCTCAGAAAACCCTTTCGTTTGATACCCATATCATTGGAATGCATAAAAATAACTACTCCTCCATCTGAGTCCATCATATTTGATTTAAAATATTATTTAAAATGTCGTCATTTATCTAACCATGCATTGTCATCCAAAATAAACCTGTACCTATGCAAAATTTCAGCTCAATCGAAAACGAGAAGTTGGCCAATTTTTTTTACATAATTACAGGTTGATATTCTGTGTAAAATGAAAAATTTTAATCAATGATCGAATCGATGATCAATTCATACTTGCGTTGTCGGCGGCTGAGTTGCAAACGATGGTTACATTAATGAATAGGTCGTTATAGAAAGGGGAATGAAATTGAACGCAGGTAAGACAAAGAAAGTGATGGTTATTGAAAGACAAGAAAGCAAAACGGTATGTGAAATAAGAATAGAAGGAGAGTTAATTGAGCAAGTGGATGAGTTCGTATGTTTGGGATGTCTATTCATCAGGAATGGGAGATAAAATAACGATATTGAACGACGAGTGAATGCAGGAAATAAAGTAAATGGGGCTCTAAACTCTATTGTGAAAAGTCAGAATGTGTCAAAAAAGGCACGTATGGCAATTCACAATGCTGTATTAGTCTCTACTTTAACGTATGGTAGTGAAAGTTGGGTGTGGCAGAAGAAGCATGAGAGTAGAAGAAATGCGGTCGTTAAGGAGTATGCTAGGGCTGAATCTGATTGACAGGGTGAGAAACTCTGTGATAAAAGAAAAGTGTGGTTTGCAAGATGATGCGGTGACCAGGATTAAGAAAGGAATGCTTCGGTGGTTTGGTCATGTAGAAAGAATTGAGGAAAGGCTGACAAAGCAAATACCAAATTAAGAGTACCCTTAACCGACGAGCATGCGTAGGTATATAGATGTGGAAGAGGCTCGTGCTAAATGGAAGTCTGTAGTCTCTGCCTACCCCTCTGGGTGACAGGCGTGAGTGTTTATGTATGTATGTATGTATTTTGGAAACAGAGATGGTATAGCACTATAAAATTTATTATAAAGAACGAAATTGAAAAGTCTTTTATTAGCCTAGTGCAGTCTCTAGAATATATTTTGCTGACCAATATCACTGCGCTCTATTTATACTTTTCATTCAGAATGGCACATTTTTATTGTAGCCATATTCAAAATCAATATCAGCTTTCATTTCCATCCAAAGTCTATTTATGGTAGTAATCTCTTTCTTCACAACGTAAAACATACGTAGCGCCCATATCAAAATCGTCTCATTCATAATTCTATATAATCATAATTTTTTTCCTCCGGTTCCTAGGTTTTTTCTACATCACAATTTTAGGCGACGAAGCTGCTGCTACATTACGTGCTGCTACATTACTTTCGTGGCGGTGTGTTTAGAAACGCCTAAAACAAAATAAAAACAATGCTTTACATGCATTATAACTAAATTATATTAATGACACGAGGAAAACTAAAAACAAATAACAAACCGAAAAAAATTAAGGAGTTTTATTGTTATAGCGGACCTAAACTACTTGTCAAATATTATGCAACGCGGACTCTAACTTTAGAAAAGTGTACTGTACGTAGACAGAGAAACCTATAGACTAATGATTAGCGTGGCCTCGAGTGAGAAAGGATGATAACGTAGTTTTAGGTTATACAATAATCTTTACGACTTTTAAACATATTTAGATAAAAAATTTAATTGTTCCAAGAACCGAACTGAACAAGATTTTAGAACTACTGAGCAGTTTAGCAGCTCACTTCAATCCGTCGAAACTGCTAAATTCATTTCATCCCAGTAGCTACTCCAGTGCTGTGTGCTGTTGTGGAGAGTTTTTGAACTGTTATTTACTGCTTGCAGATGACCACTTTTTCAACTATTCTACTATGGGAGTTGGTACTCCTTACTTTTACACTCCATATTCATAATCACGTTCCTGCCAGCACTTTTAATCACTTTTGGCACAATGATGACGGTTGTTTACTGAAAAAACAAATAAAAACACGGCACGTAACACACTCTTTGACTTTTGCCATAAGCTACTTTAATAAAAGTATCGAGTACAGAAATACTAGGTATCGAACTAAAAGTATCGATACTACTCAGGTACTCGATACTTTTGCGGATCCCTGCGATAAATGACATAGTATGTCATTTGTCGCTGTCAGTACTGATGTCAGACATACCCTGACAAATTGACAATTGACATATTTCCCATAGTATTTTACTTTCTTATTTGTGATAAGCTCGGAGAGTATTGTAATTTGATAAAAACTTACGATAAGCTGATTGATTGCAAATAGATAGTAGTAATCTACAAATATTTAAATTCGCTACTTCTTAAAAATTAGCTTGCCACCTTGTAAAGTTATAACTTGTGATCTTATTAAAAAATTAGAAAGTTTTTATGTGTATTAGTTTAAATATCCAATATTATTGATATGGATTAACAATAATTTAAAAAATTAAAGCATTGAGATATGGATGCTAATACTAAGGTAAACCATGAATGTGTTACTATTAAACAAAGTTTTGTTTTTAAACATTAAATTGATAATTTAGCTACCTACCTGTATACCCCAAAGTTAGTGGCTACAGCAGTTCTTGAAAGTCTGCTACAAACTTCTATCAAAGAAGACTGCACAAGCGTTGCCACTCCTGGAAATTAAAATAAAAGACCTCTAAGTTTTGAACTGGAATAGTTGGAACTGTTAAAGCAAATCAAACATGGAAGTGTCACTTCAGCACATCTTGACCTAACATTTTATTCACTCACATATTGAAACTCCATTGCTGATTAGCTAACAAGTTAACAACTATTTATTACTACATCGAAGTTAAAAGTCTTTTTGTTAAATGATTTGGCTCTAATTGCTATACAATTTAACTACTCAAGTGTCCAAGCCGTACAAGTAATTCTTGCCCCACTTGTCCGTGTATTAAATGTCACTTTCTTTTTATGACTTCGTGAGACACTAAACAAAAATGATTAATACTGAAAAACTACTATAGCTACATTCGAATAAAAAATACTCACAAAAAGCAATAATGTTACAATTTAATTTTATTAAAAGAAAATAATTACAATGTTGGTGTCTTCAAGGCAAGAGAGAATAAACTTTTGTTAAACTAAGTCAGTGCACTTTGCCGTTTGCAGCTGCATCACCACTTACCCTCAGGTAGGATAGTAGTCAAGCATTGTATTCAAATAATAGTAATAGCAGCGATCTACTGGCGTCAAATTCCCACCAAAAAACCCTCAAGAAGTTGTTACTGCTGGTGTTAAAAGGGCTGCTTTTTTGTCGAGAGATTAAGTAATTTTTGAGAATGTGTGAAAAAATGCAGCCAGTGATCTTGACATTACACTGCAATAGGGCTATATTATAATATTCCGTCTCATCAATTTTATTATTTTTTCTTGCAAAAACTTTATGCTGCACCCCCATTTTATTAGAAAAATGTTGCAGCAGATTTCACTTTTATCACATTACAGAATATATTAAGATAATGTAATGATTATTGTTGTAATTTGTTTTTGAAATTCTTATGAAGCCATATAATTTAGAATGCTAATACTGAACTTTTCAGGATCAAGATGGGCTGAAGAGGACTCCTTTTGAAGACTTGTCAAAGGAAGATTTAATATCTAAATGCAAGGGTCTACTTGTTATAGCTCAGAAAGCTAAACAAGCAAAATCTGGTAAAAGAACTTACAATTTGTTTTCTTAATAATATATGATGCACAGCTAATTTAGGACTTGTTTATGGTAGCAGAATAATTATAGGATAATATTTATTTAACATATCTATCTTCTACAGAATTGCAACATGAAATTGAGACCTATAAAGGTAAGTTGCAAAAATGTGAAAGTGAAAAGAACGCCTCTTTAGAAAATAATAAAACTTTACAAGAACTCATAGATTCTTTAACTGAACAGAAACTAAATTATATAATGGAGATAGATGCAACACAGGCAAATGTGAGAGCTCTCAATGAAAAATGTCACAGTTGTGAGGAAGAGCTCACTAAACTTAAAGCAGAGTTAATTGTAAGAGACCAAAATATTACAGAAATCTCTCAAAAATTGTCTACTTTTGATAATGAGGTTGTATCTCTCAAAAGGCAAAACAACCGTCTTTTAGAAGAAAATGAACAGCTTATCACTCAGCTGTCTCACATGGAGGCAAGAGTTGCTGAATTCAATAGCATTGGCTTGCAACAGAGAAAGCAATTACAACTTTTAGAAGAGAAATTTAAAACAGGTGAGTAGGAGCTATCCATCAGTATTGATTAAATCAAACTAATCTTCTGCTAATTGAGTTTATAAAAATTTAAAATAGTAAAACTCAAATTTAGATAAGTGGCTCAAAATAATGTTGACAAATGATTTTTCAAATTATTTCATTAGCATCATAGGTCAATCATATTAATTTCAAAAATATAGAATACACCATATTTTGCTGAAGAATTCCAGTTGATTTTAAAAATATGCCCCTTTTAGTGCTCTTTTGAAAACTCCTTTTAGGAGAAGATTAACTGGAAAGTGCTGTACCTTTACTGTATATACATAGAGACAAATTACTGGTAAAATTTTAAATAATTTTCAACACTTCCTCTTTCTCTGCACGATTCTTTACCATTTGTATAATATGTGCATCCATTATACTGAATGACCTTTTTTAAGATCTGGAAAAAAAATAGGGTGTAACATGTGAATGAAGCATAAGCACTGATATTTTACAAAAAATAAAAACAAAAATTTTGAATTAAATAAATAAATTATTTAAAATCTATCGAAATTCAAATCATATCCACCCTACTTTACAAATGGCAATAAAACAATAAATTTCGTAGGCATATTTGACCTTGTCACTTTGCAGTGTCACAGGCTAGGGTGGATATGATTTGCTTTGTGTCTATAAAATTCTAAATAAATTATTTTGGTTGTGGCTCTTTGTTGACTTTCTTCATTTATTGCCTTCGATCAATTTGTTGCAATGTGAACATTTATTCAATTATTAATATTAAAATTATATAATACGATGACTTATTTAAAAAGATTTTTAATCAAGCATTTTCTGTATAATAAATGAAAAATAATATTCAATTAATATAATGTCTTGTAAGTTAAGACACTTATATTTTCAATATTAATATTCTCAAATAATTAATCATAACTTCTTTTAAGTTAGGTAAAAAATAAGTTTGTATTTTCAGTAAAAACATAATATTCAAAAAAAAACTTAAACTATTTTCTTGAAAGTTAATAAGGATTATGTCTAATAAATAAACTAAAGTTAGATAAAGTGTAACCAGTACTTGTTGAAATAAAGAAGTCAAACAGATATTGAAGCTATTGAGAGACAAAAATTGGTGATAAAATTCAATTTTCTTTCTCCGGTAAAAATTATTACATTTCTACTTTTTTATTTATTTCTAAAAGTGTTTATTTAATTTATCTAAATATACTAAACAACTACTAACTAATAATAAATATATAAAAAACAAAAAAAGAAAATTTGACTTCTCATTCCTGGTATCGAACCCGGGCACTCTCGAGTGCAAACTGCAAATCCAAACCTCTATTATTTGATAGAGGTTTAGATTAAAATAACTTTCGTGTTGGTATTTTCAACTTTCTTTCTCCGGTAAAAAATTATTACATTTCAAACTTTTTTTATTTATTTCTATAAGTGTTTAATTAATTTATCTAAATATACTAAACTACTAACTAATAAATAACTAAATATATAAACAAGAAAAAAGAAAATTTGAAACTCTCGAGTGCAAACTGCAAATCCAAACCATATGTACACATTATTTGAATACTCAGTCACTACTGTAATAAACCACATATTTAAAATTCATGGGTTAAAAAAATTACATTTAAGTTTTTTTACTTATAAAGTAATTAATAAATGTATCTAAATATATAATACTAAATATATAAAAGAAAATTTGAGTTCATATTCCTGGAATCGAAACCGGGCACTCTCGAATGCAAACTGCAAATCCATCCGGCGCTACCAAATACACAACTGTAATAAAGTATGTTGCTGAAATTCATAGGTTTATTGTTGTAAAAATAAATATTTATTATTTAGTAATAATTAAATGTTATAGTTATAAGTAAAACCTTTAGTATCGTTGATATGTTAAGCATTTGATTTGTTTGAACGTTTTTTACTTTTCATAACTGGTTTTGCTTTATGTCCCATATTTACAATTGATAATTATTAACAAGGGACAATACTACGCTATTTTAACTTTATACATTTTAAATCGACAAATATACGAAAGAAGAATATTTATGAAAAGAAAAATATTTATGAAACAATGAATTTAAAAATAAAATTACACAAATACATTAAACAATCTTTACGTGAATACTGCGGCAAAAAGAACGACACGTCTACATACCATTAGGGCTCGGCCGCAGTGTCTGTACACAGGCGTTTACATACATATCCGTATGTGTTACGGCCCTCAGTTACCCCGACAAAAGTCGATTGGACTAGGGCCCATAGTAATCCAACTCGACGAGCAACTGAGGGGAGGGCCCAATGGCCTATGGATAATTAATTTATAACAGCTGCTATAAACAAGCACAAACTTACCGAATTACAGGTGTAGGGTCGACCACAAGGTGCCGTCAGGGGCAAGTAAATGATATGTGTGAGTGGTGTGTGAGAAGTGTGTAATGTAACCTGACGTCACCGATATAATCGGATAGCAGAACCACATGCGCTGCCCAGCTCCTCTTGTGCAATCACTCCAGAGGGCGTTAGCCGCTATCGGAACTCAAGTCCAACGTCACTTAGCACAAATATAATCGGAGAGAACGCTATATCCTCCGGATCACAAAGTTTAGCGTCCCACACGACAAAGCAAAATTCTTTCGTACAATATTAACTACACAAGCCACTCGCCGACGCAAATTAATAGCAATTGAAGTTAAGTCAATAACTCAAAACTCAAAGAAAGCCTCGTTGTCACGTATATTAACGGAATAATACAACACAAAGGAGGCCGTCGTTATGCGACGCAGCAATTCTTATCAAAACTCGCGACCTCTAATCGACACGGCACGCTCACTAAGATTGTTCTAGACTCGTAGGCGCGGCCGCCGGCCGCACAATCAGTCACCCCGGCCCCGCCGTCAAACCAGTTCCCCGCTCGAGACGCGCGCCGTTGCAAGTTGCAAATTGTTACAATTATGCCTAAACAGTATGTATTAATTCAGAAATAAGAATATGCGATTTAAAATAAAAACAATTAATTGGACTAAAAAATTAAAACAACAATAAGTTAATATGTAGCTTGTAATAATCTGACAAAAAATCAGAATGATTGCATGCATATTAGTATGGTTTTTACTCCTTAATAGAAATTTTTAGAGGTATCTCTGTGATTTTTTTTATCGTATCAAATTATTAGTATCACGTTTTCAACACAACAGTTAAATTCCTAAAAGAAATGTAGTCGTATTCTACTTAGTTAAAATTTTGTTAGTAAACAAAGTTTTAATTTCAGTGTTTTGTGTTATTATAACTTAAAATATTTTAAATACAAAAGATGAGTATAGTTATGTAAGTAGATACTTAGATAGTGAAGTCAATTTCAACTAAATTGTGTAATAAATTTCGTAGGTATTAGATAAATTATTACCTAGGCTGCACTAAAAGTATCGGGAATGGAATATTTCCACTGTTCCTGTCATATTATCATTATTATCATCATCACAGCCCTTCACAAGTCCACTGCTGAACATAGGCCTCCCCCAAGTAACGCCACAAAGCACGGTCCTGAGCCACCTGCATCCATCGACTTTCTTACCAGGTCGTCACTCCATCTAGTGGGGGGGTCGCCCTACACTACGCCTACCGGTACGAGGCTGCCACTCAAGAACCTTTCTTTCCTGTCATATTAAAATCTTTTTAATTGAAAACTCCTTGGTTTTAAAAATCGAATACTATTTATTTATACTATAAAAAAAGATTCTCGGTCTTGTCACAAGGTTTTGTCAAACTTGTTTAATCGTTGAGAAAATTGAATTGACTCGAGAAAATTCAAGAGCGATGATTCATTATGACTTACGAAGTGGCTTAACACAAAAACAGTGTGTTGACCATTGAGTTATAATGTACTACGTACTAGAGAAGCTATTCCAAACAAAAATTGTGCGCTACTTCTATGTCTTCGCGCATGCGCGGTAATAGTAGAGTCGCGCATGCGCAGTTGGTATAAACGCGCTTTGCGCTTGCGCGGTCAGTTTTTGTCATTATAGATTATACGTAAGTAGAATGGTCAGTATGTAATAATTGTTTATTTATATTGTATTGTTAATTATATCGAGTACTTACAATTTTTTCAAAATGTTTTTTATTTTGTATATGTGCTAATTTAATATAATATTACATAATATTATGTCAGAATTACATTTTGATGATATTGTTATCTGAATATTTTAAAAGGTATCTATGTCAAATATAAAAAAACGTACTAAATGTATGTTTAACAAAACTTATTAACATAAAATTTAAATTACAAATATATTTATTTAAATTAGAATCATAAATGTTGTAAATAATCGTTCATAAATGCTGGGCACGCGAGAGTTAAAAATGGACGAATTTATTCCACTTTGACTTTGAAGTGGAAACCTAAAAATAAAAAAAGAATAATAAGCAGATTTAAACATGAAAAATTTAGCTTAATTATAATAACTTATATGTTTCTACAAAAAAAATGTGTAGTATAATAATATATTCGTCCTAAACTTAAGTACCCACAGAAATGTCGCATCTGAACATATTAATTTCATAATCTATATTCAATGATACGAGATGGCGTCTTAGGAATAATTTGCTTTATTATTAATTTATAATACTTTTTTATTGAATAAGTATCTTATTAACCGATGAAAAGTAATTCCTTGGTTTTTACTGACATTTCTTGAATTATTTGTGCAATATCTAAGTACACAAGACGGCATATTTTTATCAAGAGATTTTTTTTAAATCAACACAACACGTGACAACTCTACAAGCGCCTAGCGAGTGACTGATTAAAGTGCAGTGCATGCACCGCAGTTGAGTGGAACAGAGTAGCTGAATGCAGTGTCTCCTCTAGTACGTAGTACATAATAGCTCAATGGTGTTGACCGGATGATTTCTGCATATGGTGATGAAGCCCCAACCAAAACCACAATTTATCGCTGGTTTGCTGAATTTCAACGTGGACGTGTCAAGCTCAGTGATGATCCCCGTGAAGGTAGTCCAAAACTGCATTCACCCAAGAAAACGTTGATGCTGTGCGTAAGCTGATTGAGAAAGATCGACATGTGACATACCGCGATATTCAGGCAACTTTAGACATTGGCATGAGTCAAATACAAATAATCTTGCATGAGCAATTAGGTGTAAAAAAGTTGTTTTCCCGATGGATACCGCATTCGCTCTGTGAAGAACATAAAAAGGCTCGCGTTACTTGGTGCGTCAGAACTCTCGAAACATTCCACGCAGGATCCTCAAATGCTGTATACAACATCGTATCAGGTGACGAATCCTGGATATACGCGTACGCACCCGAAACAAAAAACCAGTCACAAGTTTGGGTGTTCGAAAATGAGTTAAAGCCAACAAAAATTGTTCGTTCACGGAGTGTTGCAAAAAAAATGGTGGCCACGTTTGTCTCCAAAACCGGGCATGTTACGACTATTCCTCTTGAGGGACAAAGAACGATTAATGCAGAATGGTATGCTAGCATTTGTTTGCCACAGGTCGTTTCTAAACTCAGTAAAGAGAACTGCAACCGCCGCATCATCCTCCATCACGACAATGCGAGTTCTCACACCGCACATAGAACAAAAGAGTTTTTAGAGCAAGAAAACAGAATTATTAGACCATCCGCCGAACAGCCCCGACCTAAGCCCTAATGATTTCTATAGTTTCCCTAAAATAAAGAATAAATTGCGTGGACAGAGATTTTCATCACCTGAAGAAGCTGTGGACGCCTACAAAACGGCCATTTTGGAGACCCCAACTTCCGAATGGAATGGTTGCTTCAATAATTGGTTCCATCGTATGGAAAAATGTGTCAAATTTCGCGGAGAATACTTCGAAAAGCAATAAATACATTTTTAAATAGTAATGTTGTGTCACTTCCTTGATTCCCGAAATTTTCACTGCCGCCCTCGTGCTTAATTCTTTTCTGCTATAAGTATCTAACAATAAAAATGAAATAAATTTATGTTTCATAACTTCCTACTAAAATCCTTCGGTAACTTAAATAATGATATATCTGGAACATTTTGTTGGTCATTTAGCGTCTATCTACACAACAATTATAGTAGGAACGATGTTTTGACATTAAAATATATGAAATAGATGGGTAATATACATAATATATATGATTTTTAAATAACATTAAAACTTTTTAACTATTTTATCCTACAATTAAATATCATCATCATCATCATTGTTACAGCCCTTCACAAGTCCACTGCTGAACATAGACCTCCCCCAAGTAACGCCACAAAACACGGTCCTGAGCCACCTGCATCCATCGACTTCCTGCATGTCTGACTAGGTCGTCACTCCATCTAGTGGGGGGGGGGGTCGCCATCCACTACGCCTACCGGTACGAGGCTGCCTCGAGAATCTTTCTTCCCCATCGGTTGTCGGTTCTCCGAGCTATATGGCCGGCCCATTGCTACTTCAGCTTACTAATCCGTTGGGCTATGTCGGTCACTCTGGATATCCTCATTTCTGAGTCTATCACGCAGAGAAACTCCGAGCATAGCCCTCTCCATAGCTCGCTGAGTGACCTTGAGCGTCCTCATACGGCCAGAAGTGAAGGACCACGGGGACCAAGGTCTCAGATCCGTAAGTTAATGAAATATACTAAACACTAAATAAAAACTATTTCAACAAGTATTTAAAAAAAATATTTACGTAAACAGCGTTAAAAAACTGAAATACCCGACTGCGTATTTCAACCCTAGGTGCGTCGCGATTGTAGGTAATTATTTCACGCACTTAGCAAGAGTGTCAGATGCCTGACAAAAGTAACATAGTTCCCTTTTTGATAGTGCATTAGGTTATGTATATAATGTGACAAAATTTCCACTTTATTGCATTTTTTGTAATTGTTTACTTTAGGTATATTAAATTAGCTGGTTTTTACAGTGTAAATATTATAAATTTTTATTAATAACTCGACTACGGCGCCACCTGTTGGGTATAGATTTCTCGGATTATCTTGGATATCAGCATGGCTATGAACCTTCGTCTATATAAAACAAAATAAAAAAACAAATAACAAGTCTTTCAAAAGCTACATGATTACTTACATTTGTGCCAACTTTTGTATGTTATTAATAACGAACTCGTATAAATGTTTGAAATCAAGGCAATAATGTTGGTTTTGAGCCTATTTGTCTTACTATAAAAATAAAGTGTAAGAAAGAAATGTAAGGCAAGTTTTTGGTTTTAGAGACACCATCTAGTCAGCATGTTGGATATTTCCCTAGTCTGGCCTTTACAACATTATTGTATTTTCGCCACAGTTTATTCCTCTGGATATTAACCCTGGAGATATTAGATTGATTAAATCGGGCAGAAAGACATTATTATTGTCAAAACAAGTTTATCCCTAGAAACTTGTTACATATAACTTGTTCATCTATGTTATCTCAGTTTCTCTTTAGTTTTTTACACCGTGTCAGTTCCGCATTGCTAATCTGTAATTAGTAATCATTAATAAAATCTCTATATGTATTTAAAAAATCAATTGCTGCCCGTTAGTCCCGTGAAAACTCGAAAATGGCTGGACTGATTTTGAAGAAAAATATTTTATCTGTTTTTGAGTGGGTGTCCCTGGACGCTCTAAACGATTCGCTATTGGACCCGGTAAGTGGCGCTGTTGCCGAGATCCTGAAATGACCCGTGCGAAGCCGGGCAGAATCGCTAGTCATAAATAAAATATATGGTATCCACAATTTTTCCTAAATAAAAACTATTTTATAAATAAAATTTTATGTAAATATTGTAAACATATAATCTTTATACAAATTATTATATTATATTTAAGAAAAATATAATTTATACGCATGCTATTAAACTATTTATTTATATTTTTATAAGTGTAATTACAGTGATTCGGCGGTAAAATCCAAGTTGACTTTAAAGAAAAATTTAAGCCTATGTTAATAAATGATGATTATAATAATAATGAAAGCATTATGGTCATATCAGTAATTCCTAAATACATACGGCATACGTAGTAGTTCTTTCGTTCTATTTGATTTTTGGTACTAGTACTTGTTCCAAACATAATCTTTGATTTTTCGAGATGTTTGTTCTATAGTGGTACGTATTAAATTTTAATTTCAATGCTTTAAAAATTTACAGATGATGTATCCCAAATAAACGTTAAGGAACTCAATGAAAAAATTAAAGAACTAGAGAGTGATATTCAGGATAAAGTCAACAATTATGAAGGAAAAATTAGTGCTCTAGAAAGTAAAGCTAAAGAAATGTCAAATTTATATGAGTCAGAAAAAACTAAAAGAGATAAGGCAAACATCAAGCTAAGAAGTTATAAAGATAAAATATTAAAATGTGCAACATGCATTAATCAATTAAAGAATTCCAGGTTCATTTTATCTAAAACAGTAAAGGAATATTCTGAAAACATTCCTAAATGGCAAAATGAAATAATGAAAGCATCTAGAGTTCTTGATAAACAAATAAATGAGTTAAATGATGAGAACACATCTCTTAAAGAAAAAATTCAAAAATTAGATCTTCAATTAAAACGGGTCCTTAAAATTGATAGTGAATGTAATATTATGGAAAGTATATCCCAATTGAATGATTTAATTGAAGAGAATAGCTTATTAAAATCTCAATTGAGTAATTTGCAGGAGCAAGTTAATGACTTATCAAAATCTAATTCGATTCTTAAAAGTGAAAATAGTGTATATTTGACTAAACAAAATGAACAAATTGATAATAATGTTGATGAAAATAAACTATTACAACAACAAGTAAATGACTTGACAGCAAAAATAGAAGTTATGGCTTTAAAAAATTCTGAACTTGTTAAAATTATGGATGATCTTGAACGAAAGAATGGTGATTTAAGCGAGTTATTAGAAACAAAACGTAAAAACAACGAGTTAATTGATATTTTGAATTTGCAGATAAAGGCTCTTGAAAGTGAGAAAGCAATTTTGGTAAAAGAAAAATTAAATGCTAGAGATAGTCTAATAGAACTAGAAAATCAGAATAAATCTTTAAATCATCAAATAGAAACCATTAAATTAGAACTTGAATCAAATAAGATGCAATTTGAAACAGTTTCACATGAACTTTTAAAGTTTAAAGAAGGTTATAACTCAGAAAAAGACACTGAAATTAAACAACTGAAAACAAGAATTATTTTAATACAAGACGCGAGCGATAAGTTGAAAAAAGAATACGATGACCTACTAGATTTAAATGGATTATTAAGAGAAGAAGTCGAAACACTAAAGCTATCCTTAGAACAACCAAAAGATGATAGCGAACATTCATCAGATTTAAATGTGTCCCTGCAAGCTGACATTGTTAAGCTTGAAACGAAGTTATCTGCTTATAAACAGGAAAATGCAGCGCTTTTAACGGAAATCAAAGAATCTCGTGCAAAGCTTAAAGAATTTGATAACTTAGTTGCTGAATATGAAGATGCCAAAACTAAATTACTTAATTATAAAACAGAGAACACTGAATTGTTAAATGAAATGAAAGAAATAAATCAGGTACTTAAAGAACGTGGTGAAGCAATATCAAAATCACAAAAAGCTATTTCTGAAATGGAAAGACTGATTGAATCCTTGGAAAAAGATAGGGATGATTTAAGACAGGAAAGAGATAACTTACTTAAGAAAGTTGAAGATTTAGAACATGACTTAAATAGCGTGAATCAAATTACAAGCCAAAACTGCGAAGCCGTGGCGAAAACTACTATAGAAAGGGACAATGCTATTCAACAGTCGTCTGAAAAAGATATTGTAATTGCAACCTTAAAGGAAGATATAGAAAGACTCAAGCAACAGATATCACCTAGTAAGTATCAATGGAAAACTGCGAAGCATTTTATTAAAAAATTTTGCACAAAACAAAAAAAGTCTACATAAGTTAAATTTATTTTTAATGAACTTTAATTTTAGCTTCTGAATTACCTAATGATGATATGTCAACATCTACAATTTCTAAAGCCGAGGAACATTCTAGGATGAAGGACCTAGATGAGACATTTGAAGACAAGTAAGACGTAACTTTTGTTTCTCATTTCAGTAAATGATTTTTACTTTGAATTGATTTTCAAACAGTCTGCGTTTTCTTCGTATACAGGTATACTAAGTTAAGAGTTTTTGCTTTAAAACTTAAGAAAAAACTTAACGAAGTTCAAATTCAACTACAAACTGCAGAGCAAGAAAAAACTAGACTTCAAAAACTCTTAAATGATAATAATCTTGAAAATCACAAACACCCTGTTCCTGTCCTTAGTTCTGCAAGTGATGTTGATGATACTGATGAATGCAATAAAATGAAAACACTTAAAAATAAATCTGAAATTAATGATCTGAAGGCAAAAGTAGACTCATTAACTAATGCGCTTGAAGCTTCAGAAAAATCTCTTGTTAAGTTTAAAAGCCTAGAAGGTACCTACATTTTGCTAATTTTTATTAGTTATGATTATCATAGGGTGGGTTGGTAACCTTTGTTAATGTGACATTTTTTTAATTTTAGCTGAATTCCATAAAATAAATCAACAGTTAAATACTGAAAAGGAATCACATAAAGCTACAAAAGATCAATTAGATAAAGCCCTTAAAGATGTAAAAAAGAAAAATGTTTTAAGCCTCGAGATGGAAGACTACGAAAGATCCATGAAGGAACTCACTACAAAAATGGAGGAAAATAAGAAAAAAATCATACAAGTTGGTTCCAATTGTGATATTTTATTATTAACTTTTGTCGTGTTATATAAGAATCTCCCTTATTGGATAGGCTTGCTTTTGCAACGTGCCAACTCATGAGGTTACAAACTGAAAGAGCAAAACTTAACGGGATTAAATTTGTTGATAGTTGATACTAACTTGATATTGTCATACTTTATCGGATGAAACAAAAACTAATGTGATGTACACAAATAAATTATTCATATTTTATGCATTATGTAAGCTTCTCTCTCAGAAAGTTTTGCTTTTTTGTTAAAGATATTTTACTTATTTATTTTTTTAAAGAGCACTACCGCCATCTATACAAAGTTTTTTGTTTGTGTACTAACTCTTCGTACTTAATTTGCCTACTTTCTTCAGTTAAATTTCCATTGCTAGCACATTTCCTTAACAGATGTCAAAGGGTGCTCATGTTTCTTTATCTTTCAAAGTAAGTTAGTCAATCATAAAATTTGTTATACCTGCAGTACACGGTTAACTTAGAAGCGATATTTTAATTTACTTTTTTTTTTAATTAACAATGCTAAAAAGACTTATTTAATTAACGTTAATGATTCTCTATCTAGACCCCTGACAGGCTACTGCTGGACTCTATATCGGATTTACATTAATTGCCACGCTTTAAATGCAAATTAGCAATCCAAGAATCCAGTATCAAATTTCTCGCATCTTAAACGTGTAATTAAACCAAAATTAGTTCTAATAATAATTGTTTTTTTCATCGAAACAATTATTAGTGTGGCCCTACAAACATTTGTTCTGGTTTGAATTCGAACCCGCGGCCTGCCTGAGGTATAAAAGATTTTACCACCATTGTTTCTTAAAATATTTACACCGAAACAACTTATGAATGCAAAGATCTGGTATTAAATTGGCTTAAGCCACTCACTTATGAGGAAGTAGAGGATATGATTAGCGGTTTCAAACATAGATTTACGTCCGCACATATTATATTAAACACCCATGCTATGTCCATAGCATACACTTACTCGTGCAATCGCTATTAACCCATATGTAAAGACCCTTGCACATAGGGTTGGCAGAAGATTTACACTTAAACTTATTTGATTATTTGAAAAAGGTTACCATTACAACCTTTTATAGTCCACTGCTTGATATATGCCTCCCCCATAGATTGCCTTAAGACAACACATCGAAAAGGCTATCGCCATACTGATCCGAGTCAATACATAATTTCTATAAAAACTTGAAAAAACGCCGTCATAAGGTCTAAAATTGCGTAGCGCCCGCGACGATTAAAAGCGCTTAGAAATTGTCAGAATCTTAAAATATTTTTTTTTAAATTATTGATTTAAGTAATCAAAATAATTAACAAGTAAATTACGAATACTGATGTTATGAATATATTTGAGTGATTCCCAAGCATATAGATTAAGTAATTTCGGTGTAATTTCAACTATAGTGATTTTTTAGAGGTGTTTTCGCAAATAATTATGATCGGTCAAAATTATACAATCGTGTTTTTGAACAATCAAATTCAAGATAAAGACATAAATTTACCTATATCAAAATTCCACTTTCGTTAGTGGTGTCATAGTCCTATACTATTCTATGAAACGAGGTGCATTTTTCACGGTGTCGCCTTAAGTTTGCAGATTGCAAGCGGGTTTTGAACTGCAGTTTTTATTTTATTTTTATTTTTTAGTTGTTATTAAAAAAACGCTGCTTCTGATTATTTTCCCCCTGTCGCCTCGTACGACACCAACGGAGTGGTATGTGGTAGTGGATATTCTTACAAAACCACTACGCAATAAATCGGTTTAAAAAGGTGACACTGATGATATATCAATATGTTTATTGTTTTGTTAGCCAAATATTTGAATTTATTGACTTCTGTATGAACATATTATGCGCATTAATATTGCTGCGAAAATCGTACCGTTTGTTATCGATTTTATGTAATATGTTTAGATGGAATCTACGATTGACACTCAAGAAGGCACAATTACTGCTATGAAAACCCAAATAAAATTGTTGGAAGAACAAATCAAAGCGGAAGAAACACAAAACAGATTACTCAAAGAAGAATTGCACCATGCCTTAGAAGAAGGAAAAGAAAAAGACAACATAATAAACTCTAAGAAAGATATCATATCAAAGTTAATGCATGATCTCGAGGAAGAAAAAAGAAAGAACGAAGAATCTGATTTAGAAACGACAGCGTTACTCAGTGAAAAGGAGAAAATAATTATAGGTTTAGGAGAAGAAAAAACGGAATTACTAAACAGAATGAAAAGACTTGAATTCAAATATGCTGACATAAATGAAAAGTTAAGAATCACAAATATTGAATTAGCGGATCTAAAAACGGAGTACACCAGTTACAAAGTAAGTAAATCTTACGAAATTATACATACATATATATAATATAGGCTGAGTTGCAAATGATGGTTACATTAATGAACTGGGAATTAAAAGAAAGGGGAATGAAAGTGAACGCAAGTAAGACGAAAGTGATGGTTTTTGAAAGAGAAGAAAGCAAAACGATATGTGAAATAAGAATAGAAGGAGAGTTAATTGAGCAAGTGGATGAGTTTGTGTATTTGGGATGTGTATTTAGCAGGGATGGTAGATATGATAGGGATATAGAACGACGAGTAAATGCAGGGAATAGAGTGAATGGGGCACTACACTCTATTATGAAGAACCAGAACGTGTCAAAAAAGGCACGTATGGTAATTCATAATGCTGTGTTAGTCCCTACTTTAATGTATGGTAGTGAAAGCTGGGTGTGGCAGAAGAAGCACGAAAATAGAATAAATGCTGTAGAAATGCGGTCTTTAAGGAGTATGCTAGGGTTGAATCTGAATGACAGGATGAGAAATTGCGTGATAAGAGATAAATGTGGTATGCAAGATGATGTTGTGACCAGGATTAAGAAAGGAATGCTTCGGTGGTTTGGTCATGTAGAAAGAATGAATGAGGAAAGAGTGACAAAGCAAATTTATATGGCAGATGTGAACGGCCGAGTCGGGAAGGGACGCCCTAGAAAAAAGTTTATCGACCAAATTGGCGATATTTTGAAAAGGGGCCACGCTAGAAGTACCCTTAACCGACGAGCATGTATGCGTAGATATATGGATGTAAAGGAGGCGAAAGAGGTATGTCAGGATCGTGCCAAATGGAAGTACGTAGTCTCTGCCTACCCCTCTGGGTGACAGGCGTGAGTGTTTATGTTTTTTTTTTTTTTTTTTGTTTATATATATATTATTATATATTATAAATTAAAATGTGTTCAAAAATAATTCTAATATCAATTCTACAGGTAAGAGCACAAGCAGTGTTACGTCAAAACCAGACAGTGGATCATAGCCAAGAAGAGCAACTGAAAGAGGAAGCGGCGGCACTAAAAACTCACATAGATAATTTAACTACTAAATTGTCTACACTACAGTAAGTGTTCCAAATTGCGTTATAATTTAGTGTTATCAGTTATAAACTTATGTATGGACTTGGATTTCTACCTAGATCAATTAGGTACCGACCCAGGTACCTAACTACAAAGCTACTGGTTCAAATTCCAGCCGGACCAAACATTTGTACAAAACACTATCTTCAATATGTAAGTGTGTATGGTGGACGATAAAATAATGGTCTATTGTCACACTTATCTTTTTTTATTGCGCTGGTACACACAGTAATTACAATCTAATAACAGTACAATATAGAAGGTACGAATGAGAAGATAGTAACACAGTAAAATACGTAAAGAAGAATTTAACAATGCAAACTGCGTAAGCGTGGGTCTTAGGCTAACAACAGATAATAGGACACATGCGACGCGCAACGCGGAAGCGGACGAACTGCCGATCTCTTTGTTCCGAAGGCTCGGCCCAGCGACCGAATCAGTTTTACATTCTTTATTATGCATATACATAAAAGTGCATGGCGCGTGTCTGCTTGTACATAAATTAATTTATCTACATATATAATTTATCAATTAAATTTTACAAAATTTAGACATTTTTATTAACATTCGTATCATTAACAATTAACAAAATATAAATTAATAATAGCTTAAAATTAAAGTATAAAATATGAACATTTTTGAATTTTCAACATATAAAATATGAAATATAAAACTCGCTTCAAATACCTTTCAATACATTATCCATCTAAGTAAATTAACTTTAAAACATTCCACTTTGACATGCAGGTGGACATTTTTGAAAGTTTAAGAAAAAAAGAATATTAACAATGCTATAAACATTAGTAATATTCCCCTTAACCACTCGTGGTAAGCTTAAATTGCTTGTGTTACGAGTGGTTCGTGCCAGTAGTCGAATGGCGGATTCGAACCCACGACCTTTTTGAGTTTGCGGTCCGCACCCTGCCATTAGGCTACTGTCGCTTTTTAAATAAATTTTTGAAGGTTTTTTATTATAATTACAAAAAGAGTGAATATTATCGTCAGTGACCCATAATAAATGTATCATATAATAGTCAAATTCAATACTTTTTATTTACTTATTATACCCACCTGTTTAAGTTTAAGACCTTTTTAGTGAAGAATCGGTAAGAAATCTGTGGTTTTTCTTAAATACTTGTAAAAAGCCAGGAGACTTGCAAGAGTAGAGTAAGTGATTTCCACACATTATTGTCTTCAATATATTGAACTTCTTCCTTAACGAGTTTTATACTTTATATCCGATTGTTCCACTAATCATTCAATTGTTCACTCGTGAAATTTAATGGATTTAAGAAATATTGCATTATAGGTAATTATATTATTTAGGCCTTTCTCAGTGGAAATTTGTTACATTATTTACATGAGAACATTATTACTTGTACCCTTGAGACTCCGACTGCAGATGAAATGGAATTTCATCCTAATCCTAAAAAACTAAGGATGTGTTATTTTTGTTGTAACTTATTTACAATTTGCCAGAGAAAAATATTCAGAGCAAAGTATTGAAGCTGAGGCTGCTAGAAAACGCGCCAGCGAAGCTACCAACGAGGCGGCACGTGCACATCAACGAACAACGCGTCTCCAGGCTGACCTTACGCGGCTGGCGCAACAACTGGAGTCTGAAAGGTCCCAGCATAAGTTGCAAGTATGTGTGTGTTTTTAAATTTATAAGTAAAGTAAAAGTAAAGTTATAATCTACATAGTTCCCACTCTTGGAGGTCTCCTATCGTTTCTAAGAGGGGTTATGGTAACTGCTCTGATAGTCGCGGTGCTCCATTGCGTATTGGTGGACTTGACGTGTCCATGAAATATTCATTCATCGTTCGTCATGCGTACAGCAAAGGAGTGGAATAAGTTGCAAGCGTGTCTTTCAATTCAACCGTGTAGGTGTAAAAATATCCACTACCTCATATCGTCCCATGGGTGTCGTAAGGGTCGACAGAGGAAAATTGAAAAAGACAGCAGCATCTACCTGATAACTGAAAATTGTAAAAAACTACGGCTCCCCAGGCACGTCGACTATGGTAAAGGTACCCATGAGGCAATCTATGGGGGAGGCCTATGTTCAGCAGTGGACTTTTATAGGCTGCGCAAAAAGAAACAGAAACTTTTTTATTCAATGTAGATTATAACAATACTTACTGGAAGTCACTTTTTTCATTTACCACTGGTTCGCAAAAAAACCTCTGTCCTAGGTAGAACCAGCAAAAACCCAGCGGGACAATTTTTTTTCCAATAGCAATAGCTTACAATCATGTTTGCAATTAACAACACAAGACCTATTAGAAATAGCTTGGTAGCGATCACCCTTCCATCCATTTCCATTCCTATACAAACCATTTTATACAAATCTCCATCCATTTTTATACAAACTTAGTTTAATAACATTTTTGAACTTTGTGTATGACAAATTTTGTATATTTTCTGGGAATTTGTTGTAAAAGCGTATACATCGCCCCAAGAATGAATTACTGACTCGGTGGAGTCGAGTAACTTGTACTACTAACTTTTGTCTGTTCCTAGTATTTACAGAATGAATATCACTTATTTTTGCAAGACTACTTTTATTTTTGTGTACGTACATTACATTTTCATAAATGTCTTCATGTCTTTAAGGCGAAAGTGAATGAGCTTTTGCTAAGTGAGAGCACTTTGCCACCTTCGGCTCGATAACTCTACTTACCATCAGTAGTAGTCTAGCACTGGTTTAGAATAGTAAAAAAAATCCTCAGACCTGCAGGTTACCTCACGTTGTCTTACTTCATTGCCGAGCATGTGGTAAATAAATTACGATAAACAATATCATAGGCATCGGCGGCGATTGTACCCAGTTTGCTCGCCTTAACCCCCGAGCTACCCCAGCTCCATCTATGAGCATAAGGTATTATAAGATCCTTGACGATATGGTTCGTTGTTTGTAATAATGAACCTTTTAAACGATCCACTGCCATTACGTTTCTTCCAATTAAGATGTTTTTTAAGACGTCACGCTCGTTTTAGGTAATTCGCTTTCTGTACGGTACATTAGTCTTAATATTTAAATGGATAAAAAAGGAAATAATACTGCAAGGTTAGTTTTCACAATTTAGTTTTCAGGTTTTGAGATATACCTGACGAGAAGATGTGTCGTAACCCCCGAACGCTGTCCAGCCAAGTTGAATCCGTCAATTGACTTCTCGGTCGAAGTTGTACTTACCTAGCCGGACTATTTGTCCCAGGTAAACGTACTCGTCAACAACTTCGAGCTTAGTGCTCCCAACAACTACCGCCATAAGTGTGACATGGACATTAAATATGATCTTTGTTTTGTCCATGTTCATCTTAAGACCTATCTGTTGGGATGCACTATTGAGGTCATTGAGCATAGTGCTAAGGTCCTCCAGCGATTCTGCCATAAGGACTATATCGTCGGCAAATCGAAGGTGAGTGATGTATTCGCCATTGATGTTAATACCGTATCCTTTCCAGTCCAGTAGCTTGAAAACGTCTTCCAATGCAGCGGTGAAGAGTTTCGGGGAAATAAAGTTACCCTGTCTTACACCTCTCTGCAGTTGGATAGGTTTCGTACTCTGGCTCTGTACTCGGATAGCCATCGCAGCCCTACTGTACAAACACTTCAGCACTTCAATATACCGACAGTCAATTTGGCACCGCTGAAGAGACTGTAGCACCGCCCAAATTTCTACGGAATCAAAGGCTTTCTCATAGTCCACATACGCCAGGCAAAGTGGCAGATTGTACTCTTCGGACTTCTGTACAATTTGCCGAAGAGTATGTATGTGGTCTATGGTACTAAAGCCTTTTCGTGAAACCGGCTTGTTCGGGAGGCTGGAAGTCGTCGAGTCTGCGTGCGAGACGATTCGTAATGACTCTCGAAAACAGTACGTGGACGCGGCTCAGAAGGGATATCGGTCTGTAGTTCTTCAAGAGGGCGTTGTCACCTTTCTTGAAGAACAAGACCACCGCACTTCTGCTCCACGCCTCCGGAGTAGTGCCGTCATGGAGGATGGAATTAAAGAGCCTCTGAAGGACTTCAAGTACCAGTTTTCCACCCGCTTTCAGAAGCTCCGCTGTGATTCCATCCTCGCCCGTGGACTTGCCGTTTTTAAGGTGCTGGAGAGCCACTCTAATCTCGCTCAGACTGACATCCGGGATATCATCGGAATAGTGTCGGATAAGACTTGCTCTTGGATCGTTACTCACACTTGCGTGTGGCTCCAACGATGATGTGTACAGCTGCCCATAGAACCTCTCAATCTCACTCAGAATCTCAGGTGTCCCGGAAACGATGCTGCCACACTCAGTCTTCAGCTTTGACAGTTGGCTCTTACTGGCAGACAGATCTCTGGCAAAGACTTTGGAGCCCTGGTTCCGCTCAATCGCTTCTTTAATACGAGCAGTATTAAATTTGTGTAAGTCTCGCCGCATGCATTTGGAGATCTGTCTGTTCAGTTGCCTGTATGCTGTCAAATCTGTTGACGATTACAGCCTCATCTCCCGTCTAACAGCCATGAGATTAAGAGTGTGATCGGAGAGCTTTTGTGTTCTTCTGCGGCCGGTCTTGCAGAACTTAGCTCCGACCGCATGGACAGTTTCCACGAGCTTGTCATTCATATCGTCCACTAAATTGCAATCTTCTAGGCACTGAAAACATATTTTTTTATACATGTGGAATGAGGGTGACACACTAAAACAGTCCACCTGATGGTAAGTGGATGTTGTGGCCCATAGACATCTACATTTATCTTCGATTAAAAATCAAAATGCAGATGCGTTGTCACCCCTAAGGACTAAGATGGAATGCCTCGTTTCCAGTAAAAAGGGTCTCCGGTCATGTACACACATCATACGAAACACAGCAGCATTAAGCTGTTATCTTACGCTGGTATTCTGTGAGAGCGTGGTCCCGCCCCGCTCGAGCCGAACTATTCGTGTAGCTGCAGCGTGGCCTATCTATCTAGTCTACCACGTATATAATGTAAAATTCCAATTAATTTCAGGTATCTACTTTAACACAATGTTACAAGGCACAAATAAACGACTTGGAGACAAAGCTGCAGAAAGAAACAGACGCGCTGCGAACACAACTTGCAGCTGCGCAAGAAACAATAAAATCTGGTAAACTTGACCGCAATTCAGACAAGCAATACATGCTTCCAGTTATACCCAAAGATGAGAGCAGCGACGGTGAAATGGATATCAATGTGTCGTTAATACCGAGAGAGGAGGGCGAGGTATGCGTAATAATTACTTATAGTTAAATTTCAGGCTATAAAGGACTTTATTATTGTATATTTTTGAAATGCTACCTATCACACTACTTATATTCATGTATTGTGGATGAAAATTGCATAGTATAGTAAAAGTAAAGTTAGAACCTTTGTCATCATACGGCTGAGTACACATCTCTCTTTTCTGAAAGGTTCATGGTGTAAATTGCATATTATGAACAATAACCGGTGTTACAGCGTAATGTGAGTGGATATTAGACCATACAAATACCTGTTCCGTCTGAAGATCTCTTGTTTATAATTGTTTTTAAAACCAAGTTTTAAGGTTTTATACAGAAAGAGTACACGACACTAACAATAAAAACTCTATTAAATTTCAACTAGATGTCATGATAATGAAAGCCTATTTATATTGTTATTAAAATAATCCTATTATTTTAGCAGATTTCCAAAAGGGGAGGTTCTCCATTAAACTGTATTTAGTTAAAAACATATGGTTAAAGTTTTATTTTATTAATTTTTAAAGGGCTCTCCACTAGCATCTATATAAAATTTTCATACGACTGAAGTAATTTTCGAAAAACTATCCAGTCCGCTGCTAACACCTCATCTACAGCCTGTTCGGACCCTGCTACTAAATCTACCGGCCATCAAAAGTGGTGTAAAAGTTGAGAAACTGAATCTTCTTGTTATATCGCAATAAGCACCATTTTTTTTATAATAATTTGTGAAATATGAAAATGATTTTATAATGCAAACTTGCCCATGGTGAGCCAGAAATTTAAACTAATATAGAATCTCGAACAATCCATAATATAAACATTTAGATTTAATAGGTAAACCGAGGCCTCACCTCACCTGCGATGACTGCGATGATGACGAAGTAAAGGGATGACTTTAGTGACCATTAAATATGAACACAAAGCTGAATAGGTACTTATGTAAAATATGAACTCCATCAAAGAAATAAATTTTAACAGAATAGTTCATAATAAAAATTCGGTTTATAAAGTAAATAAATAACATATTCACGGGATTCAGAAGGCATATCCATGTTACGATAACGGTCACTAAATCCCAGGAATAGTACTACCTACGCCGATCACTAATAATTAGACATGAATAGCAATCAGATAGGCTTGCTATTAATATTCGCTTTGCTATATTCGTTTTTTCCGAAGACTCGAATTTGACGGTGTGTTCAAGGAGCTTCTCAGAATGCATCCAATGACATATTCAAGCTATAAAATAAATAAATTATAACTGCATAATAGCCTAGCGGCTGAGCGTTCGTGTCATAAAATGATGTGTTCAAAATTCAAATCTCACGCGGAACAAAAATGTTTGTAAGAAATACAAATAATTGTTTTTTTTTTTATTAATAGACGAACTCTTACAAACTTCTTCTGTGTCTGAATGTTTATTATCCCGTGCAATTTATGTAAAACGTCTTCACGATTTATGGGAATATTTTCATGTAATAATTCTTTTTTCAAAACAAAAACTAATTATCCAAACAAGGGCCGGATAAAATCGGAGATGTGGAGAAAATTATGAACTTTTGATTGAATTACTCAACATGGCTCTGTATCTAATAATCGAATACCGTTAATTTATTAGTAGTATTAGGGTTAACTACCAATAATAGTTTATATAACTCGAATATTGGATTCAGCAAAATTTTGTTCCTGGTCAGACTCAGCAGTTCTTTGACTCGCTGTTGCCTTTCGATAGTCTGCAAGTTTTAGCAAAATGATGAGACTTCAAAGATTCTACTTTTTATATTTTTTTTATTTAAGGGTTCTGAATCCGCCCCATCACCTCCCTTGTCTAAACCGTATTTATCAAATGCGGGTGGAAGGCGTTCTCCAATGCCATTGGAAAGGCTCTTGGAAGAAGGTGTCCCTGATGATGACGCATTGGACTCATCTTCGCTCTGTCTTACTCCGGAACAGGAAATAGCTGATTTGAGACGCAAGTTGCAAAGTCAACAGCAAAGGTAATATATTAGTATATAATTAGCCTTTTGATAATAACCCCATGTAATAATATGTTTATTTAAATTTTCTTAAATCTGTATAGGGTTATTTTTCAAAGAGTAACCAAATTTTAAACTTAATTTCTGATATATAAATAATTATATACCGTTATTGCAGTTTTTGAAAATATGAGTAAGTAATGCTTCTACTTTTATTTGAAATTATTCGAAATTGAATGTGATTTATGGGCAACAATGTTTTTGCCTTCCGATCGACCCTTACAAATGTCCGTCAAAATAATGCATTACCACACATTTTGAATACAAAAGATAAAAAGGACAGAATATTTGAGATTTTTTAAAATTAATTTTTCTTCACCATTTGCGTATATTACTTATTCTGCACGTACTCAGCTAATATGGCCGGTTATTGCAAAATAACACTGTAGAAGAAGATACTTCTGGTAAGTAAACAAATAGTCATGCTATGTGGTCGCGACGCAACAGATCCATTACTCACTTTTGTCCCGTGGGCGTCTGACAGATAGCACTATAATAATCCCGTTTACGCCAGACGTAAAAAAACGTCAAAGGTGCGAAAAGTTAGCTACTGCCATCGTCAATCCGCATGCCAAGATGAGAAAATTATTAAGGGTATGTTCCAAAATAGAACCCAGTGTACTGTCCAATGCAAATGACGTCATGAATCGACGCTATACTGGTGATTCGTTCTAAAACAGACAGTGGGTGCGTTTGGCAGAAAAAAGCGCTAGCAAGCGCTTATAAGCGCTGAAATAGTTTTCGGCCAGGACACGATTGCTACTTCAGTAGCGCTGACACAATCCGCCATTTTGCTTATTTAATTTGTTTGTTTTGAAGTAGAGTTCATAAGTTATTTTGTGCAATATTAGTTTTAAGTAATATAATGACATGAATAAACATATACACGTTATTAAAATTCATGATTGGTAAGTTTTTAATATGAATACTTTACAAACATATATTTAAATTAGGTTAGGTTCCCCGGTTAAAACTAACATCGTGTCCTGGAGGAAAATAGCTACTTACGATTTGACAGTGCTTACCGCTTACGATCGCCATTTTGCTTACAAGCGCTTGCTAGCGCTTTTTTCTGCCAAACGCACCCAGTATATGACCTCATACATTTACGCCATATTGGAAAAATGTTGGCGATTATTTTATCATTTTGTGCTCCAAAAATCATTATATTAGGAGGATATAATGAGTTATAAGCATACCAACAATTATTCTTGAATTTTTTCTATTTGAATAATTAAAAACAAATTCTGGCATGCTTCATTCAGCGCACACACAATTCAAAAATTGTTTTATTATGGCCGGATATCCGACACAATATGCCGGCGGCATGCCAGTACAATATAGTGTTAATTGATGACGTCATTTAACTTCAACTTCACAACTTCAACTGAAAACGTTTCGGAACATATCCTTTATATTATAGGTGGTAGAGCCGCGCTGCAGCGTGTTATCGATACAGCAAGAATGATTCGTCTCGACTGGGAAATAACCACGCCCACAGAGAATAGTAGCGTAAAAGCTTTTTACTAGGAACAAAGTATTTTACCTTTACCCTTACCCCCAACATATCTGCATTTTATTCTTAATGGAGGATATTAGGCTACAGGTGCCTATTTTAATGGTATAAAGGTGACAAACGATCACACAGTCCATTGATGTTAATCTACATTTATCTTCAATTAAAAATCAAGATGCATCTGCGCATCTACATCTATCCTCGACTACGAAACAAAATGCAGATGCGTTGTCACCCGTGAGGACTGAGATGGAATACCTCGTTTCCAGTAAAAAAAGTCTCCGGTTCTCTAGTCACCATACGAAATAGCACCATTAAGCTGCTAATTTAAGCTGGTATTCTGTGAGAGCGTGGTCCTACCCCGGTTTAGCCGAACCGTTCGTGCTATAACCACAACGTAGCTGCAGTATGGCTCTACCACGTCTATTTGCCACAGCATCCATTTACCTTCAAGTTTACTATGTGCTTGTTTATCCCCATACCACAGAATATTATGTAAAACTTATTTCCATTCGCACAGCGATGCGGCCGCCCTTAGACTGAGAGCTGCGACCCGTTTTTTTTATAGGATAGGGTGACGAACGAGCACACAGTCCACCTGATCGTAAGTGGTTGCTGCGGCCCATAGACATATCCTCCTATCCTCTCTATCCTCGATTACAAATCAAAATGCAGATGCGTTGTCACCTGTGAGGACTAAGATGGAATGCCTCGTTTCCAGTAAAAATGTCTCCGGTTCTCTACACTCACCATACGAAACACAGCAGCATTAAGCTACTATTTTACGCTGGTATTCTGTGAGAGCGTGGTCCTTCCCCGGTCGAGCCGATCCATTCCTACTACAACTATACTACTATAGTCAACCAAATCAAAGAAATAAATTTTGACAGCTGTCAGATTTATTGCACCAAGCATGCCAACCAAAAACTGGGAACGTACGATATTCGATTCTTAAAAAAATCGATATCGATTATTGAGAGTTGGTTATCATTTATAGTTTGGTTTGAATAATACTAGAATAAATTAGAAACGGATAACTTAAAACACAAGATTTATCAGTTTCTTCGTATTTGCTTATTTCTAGAAGTATAGTCTTAAAAATTTAAGATTGAAACTAGATTAAAAATAAATTTATTCAATCACTTTCAGTTCAACCAGTTGAGCTGTCGTTGTTTAGATTGATTGATATTTGATTTTCAATAATGCAGTCAAAATTAATGTCTCTTTCAAAGTCATCCATCCCGCCTTCTAGTCAGTTTGTGTGAATTTATACGTGTAGTCATAAAAAGGGATATTAATTTTTTCGTTTTTCATTATATGTTGTAAATTTGTTATATATAGCTGTGATTTATTTTACGTCTACGTTTCTGATGAATGATGCGGGTAAGATTGCTGTTAGATGCGATGCTGCTGGCCGTCCGGTTACCCGCAAGTAATCGTAGTAGTACATATGATGGTAACGCTTGCGGTCAGGTTGGCAAACCTTGGAAGTGATTAAAGTGTTTACTTAGGGTGAAGCACGTGACGTTGTTGCTGGCCGAGTCGGAGCGGGAGTGCGCCCGCATGGCGCAGTTGAGCGAGCTGCTCAAGAGCGAGTTGCGACGCGTGCGCGGCGCCACCGCCAACGCACACAACACTGAATACATGAAGAACGTCACCTTCAAGGTACATCACTACAATGTGTAACGTAATTAACGCACACCCTCAGACACCCCAATTAGTATATTATGTTATAATCATAATACATACACTGAATTTTTAGTTAAACATTTTTATGCACTGATTATTTATCAAATTAGTTATACTAATTCCGGAAGAATGTTGTGGTCACAGTACAAATTCACGAACGCAAAGACTTTAACGTGCTTGAAAAAATTCATTTTCTATTTTATTGAATGACAGAATTAGTAATAATGTAAATAAAACTGCACTCTTAAAACTCTTATTGCCTTAAGTTACGGTACATTTCAGTTTGTTTTGACTGTACAGATTTAGTGTGACTGTAATTTACGTAGTTTTAATTATTTTTGGGATAAAAATTACCTATATTAAAAATGATAGGAATCGATTCAGTAAACGATTCTGAACAAACTACTTTCTCAAAGTGCGTTAATTATGTTACGTGTTGTATATACACCAAAAATCATACTATAGAATAAATATTATGCATCTGCTGATTTCGTGTATTTCAGAAAGTGGACTATTCGACTGTCGAGGTACTGTATAACATAGAGCTCTTAACGAATTATTATTGCGAAATTATCAGTATTATGAGATACTTATAACTTAGGCATAATTTTTCAGGTTGTACTTTGAAACTCAATATCGATAAATAAAATATATATTTGAATCTTACTTCGAATCTTAAAAATCTTATCTTAAAAAAACGATGATAATCGCACGCACTGTTCTTAGCAATAATATTGACATTTATTAGTTTGTGATAAAGTTGATATTACGATAGTTTTTAGGATCAAATTACTTTCAATAGTATTTTAGAATATGATTGTTTTCGATGTTTGCCTATGCGCAATATTTATTGTGAAGTACTTTACATCAAAGAGTTTTAGCGGGAACTTGTTTTTTACATGGGGAAATGCCTAATCGTACTCCTCTCGCGAGGGCATGGTCGGACTTACACCGACTTAAGCTCCATGGTGCTCCACCTTGCCGCTATTGGTAGGGCCACAAAAACGTTTTCGCACACATGCACGGGAACTTAACTGCCGGCGGATTGTTACGTATTATATGTTTTAAATAATGGTTTGAAGTGGATATTGGTATATTAAAATTCCACTAGGACCTTTATTCTCTTAGGTTTTTCTGGTTATTACTGAAAATCAGCGTTGTAGTTTCGCTATAACATATATATGTAACTTTTATCGGAATTGTCATAAAAAACGCTTTAAATTTTGTTAAAATATATTGTTATTTAAAATGGCATTTGTTTATCTAGTTTCTAACATTGCCACCGGGTGATGAGCGCAGTCGACTGATTCCAGTTCTTCAGAAGATTTTAACCCTTTCCTCGGAGGAGACACAAAAGATACAAGCGATCGCGAAAGGTGAGAGTATGAAAATTCTTTTTGATATTTTATATAGGTTATCTTTTTACATAGAATATAAATAAGCATGTGGCTCTCTAAAAACTACCGCCTCCCTTAAACATTCGAAACACCAGAGAAATTGCAGCTGAGTTGCCGGTTTGTGAAAAAAGAGTAACTTTTTTTTTAAAGGTTCCTAAGTCGTTTTGATCCTAAAAAATTGCTGGTAACAGTAAATTCCTCAATGTTGTCGTACGTGGTAGAAAATTCCTATAAATACACACGTTAGTGGACTTCTAATTATCAATATGATGCTTGTGCGTGGAACAAGCAGCGTCAGAGACGTCTGGTACAGCGATCGACAAAACCTAGGTAGGCTCTGTGGATCGCTGTACCAGACGTCAACGAGAGAGGGGCCTATGTTCTGCTGTTAACAATTTGAGGCTGATGACGAAGAAGAATGGAGCTAAGTGCTGTGACGCAGTGTACGATAAAATTTGCTTAAAAAACTAAATGGCGACCGGTGGCGGATGTGTAAGTTTTAAATAATGTATGTATATGTAGTGGAGGCACAGAATACTATAATACACAATAGAATGGCTGTCAAAAGTATTTTGTACGATATTCGGCGTCGCCGGGAGCACACGTACAAGCAATTACGTCGTATTGTAACTACTACAGACCCGATTCGCTGTGTTGACAGACTGAGTAAATTTACACATTTTAGATATTTGAGTAATGTTCAAAATCATCATTAAAAAAATCGTTAAAATTTTTATACATATTTATTTATATGTAAATAGCGTGCAATTTGGTATTTTCTAAATAAATTGCATGCGAAATTTGGAAACGATTGTTACGTCAAAACACATCTCGTGTTGACATTTATACGTGTGAATTGACATGTTAGTGACATTTTAGTGGCTACACGGGCTCCGCCCACGCCCCCGTTCTATTGTGTATGTATTGTAGTTTTATTTGAGTGTAGGTGTAAAGAATATCCACCACCCATTATCATCCCGTCGGTGTCGTTAGAGGCGACAGAGGGAAACAAACACAGCAGTGTCTTCCTAAATAATGAATATAAGGTTTTTTTTTTAGGTTTAAGATATTATTTATTTCTCAAAAGATTACAAATCGCTTACAAGAAATAAAAAATTTACAAACAATAATAAAGGAATCTATCACAAGCATACAGAATATTAACTATAGATGAGGGTAAAACGTAAACAATTAAAAGAACAGTACACATAGGTTTAAACATCGCGCATAATTTGTAATGACGGAACAATTAATGCAACCGAAACAGAAATAAGGTTGCGTTCAAACTAAGTTAGATTTAATTTTAGCTTGTATTTTTTTTTATTAATTTCCAAAATATGGCATTTCAATAAGTTTTTAAATAAATAAAACGTTTTTGATTCTTTTATATTTTTAGGTAAAGCATTATACAGTTTTGTACCGTCAAACATTATATTTTTCTTACCATACTCTGTTCTAACTTTTTGTGTGTATATATCATGGGCACGTCTAAGGTTACGATTGTGAAAATCTATATTTTTTTTAAACAATATTTGCGAATGAATGTCGTTTATAAGTATTTTACGTATTAATATGCAAGTGTTATATTGATATATTTGTGATATATTTAATAATTTGGTTTCTTTATATATAATATTAGATGGTGTCAAGTATTTATAATGAAAAAGTACCTTGATTAATTTGTTTTGGGTAGTTTGAAGTCTACGTAAATTTGTTTTGTGTGCTGTTCCCCATACCTCGATTAAATAGTCAATATGTGGTTTGACAAGTGTATTATATAAAATATATCGAACATTCAGTGGGAGATATCCTAGTATATTTCGCACACTTCCTAAAAAAGAAGACAATTTAGAATTTATTTTCTGAATGTGTGGCTTCCACGTCAACCTGTTATCTAATATAAGTACTAGGTATTTTTCCTTATTTATTTTATTTATATGTGCACCATTTATTGAGAGAGGCGGAAAGTCTGGTATCTTTTTGTTTTTAGCAGAAAAGTTGACATATTTAGTTTTTTAGAACCATTCTTGCAAGGGGTTAAGGTCTTTCTGGGCCTCCTCTACGATTAAATTGATGCTGTGTCCGAAATAATAATAATAATAAAATAGGCAAGTATCATCCGCGTACAAGGTATATTTCCCTTTAAACCTAAGTTGTTTATATCGTTTATATATATTAGAAACAACAAAGGTCCCAAAATTGACCCTTGAGGAACACCGTATCTGTTCAATACGGTGTTCCTCAAGGGTCAGTTTTGGGGCTGCTAACATGTTTATCTATTTTAACTACTTGAAAACGGTTTGTGAGATATGACTTTATCATTTCTAGGGCCAATCCAGTTATACCGAGTGCAAAAAGCTTACATAATAAAATTTCATGACTTACGGTATCAAATGCCTTCTTTAGATCAATAAAAAATCCAAGGGCTATATTTTTTTATCTATACTGGTTTTGAGTTTTGTAATAAGATCGATTGATGCAGAAAGGGTATTTGATTTTCTAGAGAGATCTAAAGCCATACTGATGCTCAGATAGGTGTTTGTTTAAGATTAAGTAGTCACTAAGGCGTTTATGTAAAATTTTCTCAAAAACTTTTGATATAGTAGGAAGTACTGAGATTAGCCTGTAGTTGCCTAGCTCATTCTTAGGTCCTGTTTTATAGATTGGAGTGACTTTAGCAAGCTTCAATAAGTCAGGGAAATGGCCTTCCTGGATACATCTATTAATGCATTTTGTTAAGCAAACAGATATAGGGTCTCTTATGTATTTAATAGTTTTAGAGCTGATCCCGTCAACACCTGTACTACTATTTAATTTAAGATAGTCTATGGTTTTTTTTTAACTTCCTCAACAGTAGCTAATTCAAATCGGTCAAGTTTATTAATAAATTTAGTTGGTCTATTTTGCATTGTATGTAAATATTTCTTATGATACTGAGATGGAAATTGTTTTGCCAGAACAATACCTATATTTGCGAAATATTCATTAAACTTTTCGCAGATATTATGCGGGTCGTTAATAGTGCCTTGAGCAGTTAATAGATTAGTGGGTGTAAAATTGTTTTTGGTTTTGTTGTTTGATATGTTATTTATGAGTTGCCACATTTTGGAAGAATTACCAATACAATTTTCAAAAGCTTTATTGTAATATTAATTTTTTGTTGCTTGAATAAACTCGAACGTTTCATTTCTTTCCTTCCTAAATCTTTTTTCGATTTCTAAGTTTCCCGGATTTTGCATAAAACTCTTCCATAGCTCATTTCGTCTATCAATTCTTTCTAATACGTCTTTATTTATCCAGTCTTTTCGAGGAGGGTTCAATATTTTGGTTTTTATAACTTTGTTATTTTTTAAAGCAACTTGGATAGACTCTTCAAGTGTAATATATTGATCATTGGTGTATTTCATATTCATCATGTCACTGTAGAGGTTTTGTTAATTTATAGCTTCATATTTCATTTTTTTTTTGTAGATATGGGCTTGTATTGTTTTACTTCAAAATATATTTGTTTATGATCTGATAACGCGGATTCTATTATTGCCATATGATAGTTGTGTTCTTTTAGGTTAGAACTGATATGGTCTAATATGGTTCTAGTGGTAGATGTTTCTGTGTTGTGTACAATACGTTGCATTTATTTTATTTAATATTTTAAATCCATTTTCTTTTATTTTTTTTGTAGTCTTCAACGAGGCGTCCTTTTTTGAGTAAATCAAAATTTAAATCACCAAAAATTATTGTGCGTTTGTGGCTCTGAACTATTTGTGTAAATGTCTCAAAGAAGTTACTAGAGTTTGTTCTTTCTGGGTTTGTAAATGGCTCCGATATCCGGTGAAAATCTTTTTATTTGTATCCATAGATAGTGATTATCTTCTTCACATTTACTTTCTACAAAATGATGTTTTAAATTATTATGTACGTAGATTGAGACTCCTCCACCTCTGGAATGAGATCTAAAGTTATAGTAATGGGTGAAATTTGGTAATTTGAGTCTTTGTGCTTCGTTTTCAGATTTTATCCACGTCTCAATCAATATGACGACGTGAACTTTCTGCAAGGATGATACGATACACTTAAGTTCATCAAGTTTCCCAGGCTTTAGCAGGCTTCGCATACATGAAATTCAATAATCTTGTACTTCTATTTACGTTTGTGTAACTGTTGTCAACAGTTTTTCATAAGTTATATAATTAATATTATATATTTCATAAGTTATATTGTTTTGTAGATCTTTTAAATAGGCTGATTTTGTACATGAAGTGTAATAATTATGTTTGAGTATTTCATTTAGTTTTTTGATTGATCTTTAACAATTTTCGGCATGCCTTTTATGTATTTTTCGACTAAGTGCTCCTCGCCGTTTTGTGTCCGACGTTCTAATTCTTTTCTCAGATCTTTTATTTGTTGCTGTTGGTAAGCAGTCTTATCGGAGTATATTTTTATTGAACTATCTGCCTGGATTGATTTATTTCGTAGGATACGTTTGGCTATTTCTTGCGACGGAAGACTTACTTTTAATGGTCGGATTTTCTTAGGGTTATATTTACCGATACGTCGTATAGGATCGGGACATTCTGGTAATGTAATTTTTATTATTTTTAAATCTTCACCCATATCAGAAGCAGATCTTTGTTTGGAGTTTTCTCCTTTGGCTTCTGTGACTCCAACAATTATTAAATTTTTTTCTCTGAGAACGATATTCTTGTAATTCAGAAAATATTTCATCGCAGCTTAAATCTATTACCATACTTTTGTTGTCTGATTTTGTGTTTAGCACTTCAATGTTGGCTTCTAATTTATCTATTTTTTCGTTTGTAGCAACTTGGGATGCTTTCAAATCAGTAACATCAAATTTAAGTTTGTTATGTTCAGTAATTATATTTTGTGTAGTAAGTTGTAGATTTTTTATTTCTTCTTTTATTACAGAAACATCATCAGATATCTTACCCAGAATTTTGAATTTACTGGTCATTTCTTTACGAAAATCAGCAAACTGTTCAGAGCCGATATATTCATGTTCAGGGTGTTTCCTCTTTGTCCGAAAAGTTGTGTGTTGTATGTCGGTTGTTTCAGTATTTAACATTGATAAATTAGGTTGAGAGCTTCCACGTCCGGATGGGGTTCGTAATATGCTCATTGTTTAAGAAAAATCAGTAAGAGATAAAATAATACTTCTCTAGTGTGTACGCGCACTAAGCACGTATTGCGTCTGGATATTTTGTGCGAACAGGATAAATTTTGTAGATGTTTGGCTTGCTGTCTTGCTTTCACGTCACTGCTCTGCCGCCGGGCATTCACTCTCATTCACAATAAAAAGGGTGTAATATTCGGTGCTAGGTGCAAGTTAAAATAGTTATTCCGCTGTTGACATATGTTACAAATCCCTTTGTCAGTTTATGCAAAATTTTAGAAAAATATTGCTAACAGGTCTACACTGTAGGCTCGCAAGTTATCCACTATAAAAAAGCGGTTGTAGGTCCGCGTGTGAAGCGTGGCAACTATGGCAAATATATATAACCCCTTTGAGGCAATTCATGGGGGAGGCCTATGTTCAGCAGTGGACGTTAATAGACTATAACAGTATGGTAAAGGCGGATATGCCGTTATCACCACGTTACTAAGCGTATTGTGGGTTGGGGGGAATGAAACAAGACCCGCGACACTGACCGTTTACGTGATCTTTAAAAGATAGGTAACAGTTTTAACGATAACATTGGGATGTAAAAAGCTTTTTTTGTGACCTAAAAGATCTATTGTGATCACTGCTATGGCTATAGTCCACTTAGTCCACATAGTCTTCAATGAATAGAAGGACTTGCTTAGCCGTGAGCAATTTCACTTCTTCTGGGTGGAGTACATAGTTTCCCAGATGAGTGCTACGTTTGCGCATTTATAGTCCGAAATTATAGTATGTACTATGTTTCTAAAGTAAAAAATAGGTAAGTGCCTACGCACAAGTTCTCCCCCGAATATAGGCTCAACACCGTCGATCACGTGGTCTTATATGACGTAAGTGAGTTTTTGGGTCGTTTTTGCTGTGATTAACACCGTCACTGGCACTGCGCACACAAGACTATATCTGAGCTTATTACATTTTATGAGAGGGAGTGCTTTTTTATTTGTGCGTATAATTGTCTTGTATATAATATACTGTAATATATAATTGTCTGGTATAGTTGTCGCCGAGATCTCAGGTCTACCAAAGGGGTCATAATCGTTACGCTTTATTATGTTAGAAGACTGTATTTTTTTGATGTTATTTTATATTTATAGGACAAGATCCAAGTGCAAGTAAAGGATGGGGAAGCTACCTTCATTGGCCCGGAGGCAAATAAACTGAAGATGCGCAACAGTCATAGCTCAGAACAGAGGTTTTTTAAAACAACCAGCGACGGCAAATTGCTCTTTGATTAAATAACGACTTTTAAGCAGTTTCAATGGTCATTACAATTGATTTGTATATTCGTTACGACTTTTATAATTGAGTAACCATAGCTTATTTATTGGTATATTAGGATTTTGATAAACATATTAATTACAAATATATTATTTTTATAGTCGTATTAATTTAGGTAACTGTAGTTTAATTTCACTACAACAAAATATGATTGTCACATTCCAGAAATAAATTAATATTACATTTTTTTTATTAATACATATTATTTTATTGCCACCTACCGGGTCCAAATGTGAATAATTTAAACCCTTCATTGACCCATTTAAACATACACAAAAAAGCATAAAAAGTGGTCGAGCCGTTTTTGAGTTGTGAGACCGGACAGCAATTGATTTTATGTATAGAGATATTAATGTATATATTTTTACAGAAACTATTATTCTGACGTTATTTTTTTTTTGCTCCCGTAGCAAATATGGGCAACCCTCCGAAAAGCGGGGGAGGGAGGCGGTGAATGCTCATAGCATACCACGCAGCCGGCTGCGTGGTTATGTGGAGACTTTTACCCACTAAACACCGCCTTTTAGGAAATGGCTTAACGATCTGACTAGAGATCTCTAAGCCGTATACGAACGCGACCCTCCTTGGCAGAAAGGAGGGCGCAATTCTGACGTTACAACATGAGCTCACTTAAATACACTTCTTTTGTTACAAGAAATAGTGACATCTACAGGAAACATCTTGTACTAAATAAAAGAACTATTTGATTTGTGAAATTACTAATGAATATCCTGTTATAATATTATTTATGTTTCAATAAAATATTTTATCAAAAACATTTTCAAGATTTTTTAAATTACTTAATTATGAAAATTTGGTATTTATGGAGTATTTTAAAAATGTAATTAAAATAGATAGTATAATAATTTTATTTTTAAGATATAATTGTAAATTACATGCTTACTTTATTGCAATAAAAATTATAAATAATACATAGTTTGTTTGGTTTATTATATTATCTTAAACCTAACTATATTTACACATAATGTGTCGCATCATGATTCAAATGCAGCATATGCAGCAGATCTCTAGTTTAAATTAGTAAACTATGGTCAGGGGCTGTATAATGGCGGCGTAAGAATATCCACTAAACCATTTCATCCCGTCGGTGAAATCAGACTCCCACGGGATGATATGGGGTAGCGGATCAGCAAAAACGCGACAGAGGGAAAGAAACATGGAGATGGAAAACGGTATTTTTCTATTTACAGCCAAAAGTGACGAAAGCGATTGCGTTTGCTAACCCGCCTGACAAGTGTGGCAACTGTGGCAAAATATCTTTATGAGGCAGTTTATGGAGAGGCCTACATTCAGCACTGGACTTATGATAGGTTGTAATAGTTGAATGGATAACAAAAAATACATTTAATTTTAAAATGCCGGTCGAGAAATGAAAGAAAAAGACGACAAGACATTCTAAAGGAGCGAACCCGGGTTGTTCACATATTTTAAAATTTACATCGAGCGTTTAGCCCTTGCTAACACGGCTCATCAAAACGATTTTTGTTTCTGTAATAATAATAATGTCTTCCAGGCCGAATTTCGGCCACGGCGGACTGCCGCAACGGAAGCTAGCCATAGGCGCAGGACAGGATTATAGTGCCCAAGTGTATGCGCAAGCACAGGTGCACTCTCTATACCCTCACTCTCATAATCCGATGGGACGATAAACCGACACGACCGGAGAGAGATCAGGCGCAGGACCAACGGCTTTACGTGGTTTCTGTGGCACGGGGGTGAGACACCACCAACTTCCTGACTTCGGACAGCTACTGAGAATTTCTTGACAGAAAAACTTAATAATTAATTTTTTGGCCCGACCCCGATTCGAACCCAGGACCTCATGATCAGCAGTCACACTACTAAACTACCAAAGAAAAAAATGAAAGTCACACTATAAGAAAAATTCGTACGTCGCACTGCTCCAAGGCGGATGTATGTTTTTAAACTTATTTAAAATTATCAAATAACGAAATTACCGAAGGACAATAGATTTCGAATAATTGGGATGATTTAGTAAGAGTAAGGACACGTGCACTGAGCACTGGTAAATACTCTGACTACATACTTATTATGACGACTTGCGACGAGCCCACGTTATTGTCATAAAATATTGCTGTGGGCCTATGCGTAAATGTTGCCATTAATGTGAAAAATGGAATTGAAGATGTTAAAGATGTTATTTTTATAGTATAGAGGGCAAACGATAATGTGGCTCACCTGATGGTTAGTGACTACCGCCACCCACGAACAACTGCAACACCAGGGAGACTGCAGGTGCGTTGCCGGCCTTTTAGAAAGGAATAAGCTCTTTTATTGAAGGTTCTAAGTCGTATCAGTCCGGAAAAATCGCCGGTGATAAACAATTCCACAAAGAGGTTGTGCGAGGAAGAAAACTAGTAAAATGCACAGTGATAGATCGCCGCTGGCCGTATGAGGACGCTCAAGGTCGCTCAGCGAGCTATGGAGAGGGCTATGCTCGGAGTTTCACTGCGTGATGGACTCAGAAATGAGGATATCCGCAGTAAAACCAGAGTGACCGACATAGCCAGGGGAAGAACCGATAACGATGGGGAAGAAAGGTTCTCGAGTGGCAGCCTCGTACCGGTAGGCGTAGTGTAGGGCGACCTCCCACTAGATGGAGTGACGACCTGGTAAGACATGCAGGAAGTCGATGGATGCAGGTGGCTCAGGACCGTGCTTTGTGGCATTACTTGGGGGAGGCCTATGTTCAGCAGTGGACTTGTGAAGGGCTGTAATGATGATGATGATGATGAGATCGCCAAACATCCAGATGGTGTGGATGGTATCGTGAGTTTTGTCGCGATGTGCGTTAGTGAAATTTGGCGTTTGGAATTAGTCTGAACAATTCATTAGAGTATTCCCCGTTGTAAATGCGATAGAAAATGCAAAGGGATGCAACATTTCTGTTTCTTCTGTGTATTCTGAGGATTAAACTCGACTAGATTTAGTCGTCCCCAATCCGAGACTTTGTTTAACAATGACTCTACTTCAGATACAAGTTTGTTCCGGTACTCGATGACGTGATCTCTAGAAATATTGGCACGGCTGGTATATAAAAGCATCATCTGTGCTGTTGTCCGCATAGCAATGAATGCTACTGGCTTGCGACATATCGTTGATATGTAGAAGGAACAGCGTAGCGTAGCGATAGCACACATTCTTGTGGAACACCAGCATTGATAGGCTTGTAATCGTAGCATGCACCGTCTAATATGACCTTGATGCTTCAATCAGCGAGAAAACTGTTGATCAAAATGTACAATTTCTCGGGAAGCTCATAAGATGGAAGCTTCGAAAGAAGCGCTTTGTGCCTAACACGACCGAAGGCCTTGGTCCAAACTAACCGCCAAGCCTCCCTCTTGGACTCGACCGCTTGCCCCCATTGGTATGTTAGGTAAACAAGAAGATCACCAGCTGAGTGACCTGTTATATTTCACATCAATATTATATTTATTACTTACTTAATTCAGTTAAAACAAAAATATTAGGTATCTACACCATTGTAAAGCAATGTTGCCATAGAACTTAAAAGTATTCTCTTCAGAAGTACCTATCGTACCTGCTAAATTTAATGTAACATACCATACAAGCAATACGTTATGATAAAGTTCTGATATGTTTTATTTTTGTCTTAAGATTTCTTACATCCCTATTTAACGATTATTAAATCATTTGCGATAATTATTTTTTTCTACTTAAGTAGTACAAACACGTTCAACACTAGCCAGAAGTTAGTCTTAGAAAAATAAAATAAAAACATCCAGGCTTCCAGAGAGTACATTTATTCACTACGCTCTTCCGCATATCATCATCTCATTTTCTTTTAAAATAACGCATCACCTTGACATCACCTCAGTGCATCGTACAAGCTATCATTTTGCATTATAATATCATTATAAGCTTTTAATGAGTAGAAAATGATTAAAGTAATACATTTAAATTAAAGAGTATTACATTTGATTTTATTGATTTCATTTCCCGGGTGATGGAACTACAGCGCATGCCTAAAAATTATTCGGAAAATTCGCGACAGCGGCTGTAAAGGTAAGCTCTTGCAATTATTAAATCTTTAAATAGTTACCTATATATCTCAACATTAATTAATATTGGTAAGATACAGTTATACTTACTATTGCGTTAATACGTAAATTTTTTTAATAATAATTAATTTTGTAATGACAAAGTGAAAGGGGATATAACTATAGGTAGCGCATTTTTAAATTACGCAATTTGTTGTTTGAGTTCTTTCATATTTTCGTTATAAAGCGATTAGAATAATGGTAAAGTCATATTGCATTTGTACTTCAAGATTTCGAATTTACAAAATAGTGCGTTATGCACCCATATATTTTTGTTGACCAGATGTTAAGTTAAATGTTTTCTTTTAGATTATATTAAAAATAGGTTTTATATAATATAAATCATCTGCAATATTTCTAAGTTCAAATTTTAAAGTTTTGTCAAATTTATTCTTTGTCATTTTATGATAAACCGCACTTTGTAACTAAATTTTTTATCTTGTGTTATTGCTATGTAATATGGGTTTACGCTTAGGTACGTAAAATATATTTGCTGATATTAAAAAAGGGGAAAAGAATCGAGAAATTTGTAATATGGTGCCATTTATCCAAGTCGAATGCCGATGTGCCATGTGTGTTATTGACGCATATGCCGTGCTTCTCACAGTATGAAAATTCTAATTCTGATTTGTCTTCTCTATTGTATATATTTAATCGTACATAAAGGCATTAGCTAAGTTTAGAACGAATGCACTCGCAGTTGGTAATGTGCAATAACCTGGCTTGCGCGATCGCTCGAGATATTCCAAAGAATACAAATGCTCAATGATACGTTGCACTAATTTATATGCCATGTGCTTTGTAGAATTGGGGAAAGTTCGTTATAGTACAGTGTAATATGAAAACCGAGTGTAATATGTTTTACGCTTAGTTGCCGGAGCAATTTTGACAAATTATCTATATTTGGGTGGAAGCTGGCTGTATCGACGTTCCGGACGTCCTGTGCGCACGCTCGGAGCTTAGCGAACTCGTCCCAGAATTTTGCTTTGATAGGCAGTAGTTCGTATTACCTACTGAGAGTGCATTGCATTTAACGTCCAATTTTGTGGTGAGTTACCTCAACTGATTTATCGATTTACTTCCAACGGTTCTGTGTGAAAGATCGCTTTTATACGAATACATAAGAGTTAAATTTCGGAATCCCCAATCTTTCAATTTTAAAAATATTTTTATACGTTTTCTTCTTAATTATATAGGTTCTATACTTAAGTACCTTCGTAAGTGCAATCATCAACATCACCATTATAGCCCATCACAAGGCCACTGCTGAACATATCCCCCCCCCCCAACCCCCACCAAGGAATATCGCAAAGCACAGTCTTGGCCCACCTGCATTCATCGCCTTCCTGTTGTGCAATGCAAGCAATTAAAATATTTTACGCCCATAATCTTCGCAAGCTCTTTATCTAGATTATTTTATATTGATTAAATGGAAAGGCTCCATATCTTAAAAAAATTAATATATATATAAATTACGTGTCACATTGTTTGTCCGCGATAGATTCCTAAACTACTTAACCGGTTTTAATCAAATTTGCACACCGTGTGCAGTTTAGCTCAACTTGAGAGATAGGATATTTTTTATAACCATGAGTGACCCACAATTTT